CCGGGGCCCACGTGGGCCCCCACCCGCGCACGCGCGCGCACACAGCCACCCACGCCCCGCGCGCCCTCCCAAGGCGCGAGCCGCCCGCGCATGCGCAGAGGCCTCAGCCCTGCCCCACGGCCCGAAACCTCCCGCGGAATCTGCGTGATTCTTCGCACTGGCCGAAAGCGGTCAGGTCTACAGACCTTTTGATCGCCTCGTCCCTCTAGCAGCCGCGGTAGGGACCCCACAGCAGACGCCCTGACGGCTTCGCCCGCCTTGGCCTCGTACCGGAAACCCCGGGTAACCGCTGCAGGCAAAGCCGCCCGCTCCCCGCACCCAATCACTAGCCGGCTCTCGCGCGGGGCTTGCTGGGAAAGATGAGGAGAGGCGGCCTCAGAGGCGGGTGAGTTGGGAGGTGGGGGAGGGAAAGGACTACACGTCCCTCCATGCACCGGGAATGACCCTCAACTCCCAGGATGCAGTAAAAGGGCTTTAGTTCCAGGAGCCAGATACGCAGGATGTCCGCGAGGAGCTGCTTATTCTGCTCTAGGTCCCACGTGAACCTCGCTTCTCTCCCTCAGAAGCTATGATTAAGCTCCAAAAGCCTTACGCCTGGCTCTTTTTTCTTGCACGCCTCCACCAACCCTTTCTCTCCTGCTGTGAACATGTGTGACCGCCTGGGAACTGAGGACAAGGGACAGAATACTGGGCTGGGAACCAGGAGACTTGTATTGCAGTCCGAACTTCATTAACTTGCTGCGTGACTGGGCATTTTCTCTCTCAGGGACTCAATTTCCGTCTTCAGATGGAAACTTTCAGTAAAAAAAGTAGTTCTCTAAGCGTTTACAGTGTGTTTTCTCGTTATCTACTAGCTTAATTCTCTTAACTGTTCATCAATATAAGTACTATTTATTGTTATCGTTTTACAACTGAGGACGGTGAGGCAAAGTTAGATAATTTACCCAAGTTCGCATGGCTACTGAGTGCTTAGAGCAGGAAGTCCAGCACCAGCACCAGCACCCATCTTTACTGGACTGCGCTTCCTCTCACCCCGAAGAAATAACCATGGCCCACTTTACCTGAGGAGTTAAGGTGAAAACTTGTGAAAGCAGGTTGTATTTCCCCCCCTCCCAATTACAAGCATGAGTCCCTCTTTGGAAGGGTCTGAGGGGACCCTGCAAGAAGTTTAGCCTCAGCAGATTCCTGAGCCTTTTCTCTGACTGGCCCACCCTCCAGAAAGTCTCTATTGCACTGAGGATAAAGGTGAAAAGAGCCAAACTTTCCTCCAAATTTGAGATCACAATTCTTCATCCAGTTGCCTATGGATAATAGAATAAAACCCAACAACTGGCCCGGCCGGGCGTGGCTCAGCGGTTGAGCCTCGACCTGGGATCCAGGCGATCAGGGTTCGATTCCTGGTCAGGGCACACGCCCAGGTTGTGGGCTCGATCAATGACTCTCTCATCATTGATGTTTCTACCTCTCTATCCCCCTCTCCTTTCCTCTGTGTGAAATCAATAAAGATATATTAAAAAAAAAATAAAAAATTTAAAAACAAACGAACAAAAAAACCCCAACAACTCATATGCATAACCGATGACAGACAATAGCATGGTGAAGGCCTGGGGAGCGGGCAGGAGTAGGGTGGAGGGGGCCAATGAGGTAAAAAAGGGGATATCCGTAATACTTTGAACAACGAAGATAAATTAAAAAAAAATTGCAACCAGTGGCAGTATTTGGGATAGAAAAAACAAACTAAAACCAACAACATACACACCTGGAATTTAATGCCTACATGGTTGGCTTTGGTTTCCAGCCATTCCTGCCCACCCCTTCTGCCCTTTTTTTGCTCCAACTCTACTTTTACTACTTCTGTGGTAGGCAGTTACAGACATGAGCAGAGCAAGGACGATGGGCCAGGTACAGAAGGTCACCAGGGAGGAAAGCCCTGGGTGCCCAGCAAAGGACAATTGTAGGGTGGGACCTCACCCCCCAGGGTGACTTTTCCTCCCCTAGCATATCACTGGTCATGCAGTTTGGACCCCCTGACCTTTTCTTTCTAGAAATATCTTTTAGACCTCAGTGGCATTTCAGCTCCAGGCCCACAAAAGCAACAAAACCAGAGCAGCGACCCCAAAGCTGACGTCAGGACCAGCTGCATTGGGTAATGACCCCCTGCTCTGGGGCTGACCAATCAATCAGTGGAGACCTAGACCCTGAAAGGACACACATGGAAAGCTGCTGAATATTCTATTGAGAGCTTCCCCTGGGACCGCCCCTAAAATTCCACTCTTAAAATGGAGGACCCAGTGTGCTCGCCCTCCTGGGAGCATGACCCTGCCTTTCCCTTCCTCCTCCTCCCTCCTCCTGGCGTGTTACTATTACCTTCCTCACTCCCAAGCTCCAAGGGCCCTTCCTTTACCTCTATGACTTGTTGCCTAAGCCCATTTCTTCTAGGAATTACTTTTCCTACCTCTGTGATTTACCAAATAAATGTTCTCTTATAGTTTGGGTCTTGGCTTTGAATTCTTTCCTAGCCAGAACTCAAGTACCAAGGTTGCTGAACCCAGGTCCAGTCTGACCCCACCGGTCTAGCATCTGGTGCTGTTCCTGCTGCCTACACTTCCAGCACTTCCCAGGTTTTTGCAGGTGCTATTATAGCTTCCAAAATGCTCTTCTGGCAAAAACAACATTTTTTGAGGCCCAGCTCAAAGGTTACTTCAGAGCCTTCTGGTGTTCTGCATGCAGTCTGTCCTAGCTCCCAGTGTCTGGATTGAATTCTATTACAGCGTTAGGTGTTGAAATCATTTGCTTACAAATCAATGAACATTAAAAGAACTGTTGGCTAAATCCTGTAGTCCTAAAGCCTAGGATTTCTGGGGGCAGAGGATGTTTTAATTGTACAAATCAACATTGTTTTAGGGCTCTTAAGATGTGAAGTACTTTTCCCGGTTAAAAGACTCCCGGGCAGTGGTCTTCCCCTTCCTTTAGGCAGCACGAGTTCACGTTTACCAGTTAACACTGAGATAATGTGGTATAATAATATAATGGTGAAATTCAAGCTCACAAAGGTTTGGAATCCAGGTTTCAGGAAACCAAGGCCTGATTATTTCCAGAGAAGCATGTTTGGAAATTTATTGAGGAGGGGTAATAGATAAATCAGGGCTTGATGAATTTCCAGAGGAAGGTGTTCTAGGCAGATAAAGAACATAATAAGACAAAGTGAAGGGTGGAACAGTGTAACAAGAAGGATCAATAGTGGCCTACTGAGGCCAGCTGGGTAATGAGCAGGCAAGGAATAACAAAATTTGGCCTTAACCAGCTAGCTCAGTTGGTTAGAGCATTGTTTCAATATGCCAAGGTTGCAGGTTTGGTCCCAGGTCAAGGCACATACAAGAACCAACCAATGAATGCAGGAAAAAGTGGAACAACAAATCGATGGTCCTCATTCTCTCTAAAATCAATCAGTAAAAAATTATTTAAAAAAAAGGAATAACAGCCCTGTCCAGCGTGGCTCAGTGGTTGGAGCATCGGCGGGTGAACCAAAGGGTTGCGGGCTTGATTCCTGGTCAAGGGCACATTACCTGGGGTTGTAGGTTCGATCTCTGGCCCGTCTGGATACATTTGGGAGGCAACCAGTCCATGTCTCTCCCCTACATTGATGTTTCTCTCTCTTCCCCTTCCCTTCCAGTCTAAAAATGGAAAAAATACCCTCAGGTGAGGATTAAAACAAGGAGTAACAAAATTTGATCACGTGGGTTAAGGAAGTTACTTTCTCCTTTGCTATCAAAGAAATAGCAATATTAGAATCAGCCATTGAACCTATAATCCAGGAGATTGCTGTTGGAGTCCCTGCCAGGGCACATGCCTGGGTTGCAGGCTTGATCTCCAGTAGGGGGCGTGCAGGAGGCAGCTGATCAATGACTCTCATCACTGATGTTTCTCTCCCTCTCCCTTCCTCTCTCTGAAATCAATAAAAAAAAACAAAAACCCCATATTAAAAAAAAAAATCTGCCACTGAGTCAGGGAGACCATTGGGAATGGTGGTGATTGTGGTCAAATAGAGCTCTTGCAGATTGTTTTCAAGCAGAAAGCTTGTGCTAGATATTTTTTCAAGTGTTTTTTTTTAAATGTTGGCAACACATTAAAACTTAAACACACTATCAGTTAACCAGAATCCTCCTTTTGGGCTGAATCAACTTTGTGGCTGCTTGTCTGTAATCTCTGCTTTAGGAATTGATCTAGGCCAAAGTGAGTAGTCTGTGAACTACATGACATTAATGGGCTCACTAAGTTATAGTAACAAAATGCAGATCAGTGGTTTCTGGGGGCTGGATGAGAGGGATTCCTAAGGGGCATGCAGAAACTTCTAGAGGTGATGGATATTTCACTATCTTGACTGAGGTGATGGTTTCATGA